CGAGTGCCAAAGATGGCAGAACAATGAGTGTATAACACCCGATGTGTAAATTCTGAAAATTAACTTTGAATTCATATTTCAATATAAAGAAGGAAGCTATGAGAATTAGTTATGATAACTAATAAAATCAATACTGATGTTAAATGACTAAATAAAAAATAAAAACAGCTGAACTCATGAGAAGGAGAAAAATGGTAAATCTCCAACAAACCAACAGATCAGAAAATAAGGAGCTGACAAGTGTACAAGTCGCGTCAGAGCACAACAACCAAAGGAAAGATGGTCCGGATGAAGCCGCGTGGTGTTGATCAAGCACGTTGGACCGAGTTGATGGAGAAACAGTTGAGATAGCTTGAGTTCCTCCAACGGCTGCGATGTTAGCCAAATCTAGCATAAAAGGAGAGATGGGTAGGGAAGAAGAGAAGGGGAGAGAGGAGAGAGTACCATCGAAGGGAACGCAGACAAGGAAATTAAAGGAAGATTTAAGAGGAGAGTCCTCATCGGAAGCCGGCAAAGAGGGAAAGGTCTGAGAGAACAACTGCTACGACGAACACAATGGAAGCTAGAGGTAAGACGAATTTGAATTTCAAACACTGAAGTTGAGATTCATATTTTAAATTCCTTCTAATAGAGAATGCATGCATGATTTGGGTTGGAAAATGATTTGGTATCTTAAATCTGGTAGTGGAAAATTTAGATCATGCATCATCAGGGGTTACACCCAAATGTGTATATATAGATATATGTAATTGTGTAATGATGCAGTAAGAGAGTAATGGGATCAGGGTGAAAGAAGTTCTTGGTAGATGGCGGATGGGTAAACAGAGGTAAATCGAAATATAAGTAATAGCCTACATTGAGTGAGAAGATTAAATCTGCATAGAAGCGAAAGAAGTGGAAGAAGAAGATTCATGAGGAATGAGGGAAACAACAAAAAGGCCGACGAGGTAAGAAAAAAAAAAAAAGAGTGGGTCATATTTTGAGAGGATTGAGTATTAAGATAATAGACCTTTAAAAAAAAAAAAAACCTGGTACCGTTCTGAAGCACTGGTAAACCTTAAAAAAATGGGACTGAACGATAGTTAGACGGAGCATAAAAAATGGAAATGCCTCATCTGTGGTTTTAGAAATTTTGCACAATGCTTGTGTGAACTGTGTGTTGTACGAGTAGTTGTGGGTATGTATATTGCCTAATACGGGTCTAATACTTCAATTTTTCTTGCCATATCACCTGTTGATTTTCTTACTGGTCTAATGAATTGCCTTGATATAAATTGTCGAAAATTATTGAATAAAAGAATGG